GTGGTCACCGTCAGGGAAAATGAGATTTAATGGAAACTGTTCCCGCTCTTCCGTGTGTCCTCGTTCACTTCGGTGAAAAAACCTCCCAGCAAAGAAGGAACTCCCCGAGAAGTTCCACAAAGCATGAAGGAAGTCAACGGCATCAGCCTGCTCTTCCGAGTCAAATTGCGCCCATATTTGCTGCATGTCTTGCAGACCTGTCAAAAGCTGAGGCTCTGGATCAGAGAGATATTGTCGAACAGCTTGAGTGGTGTTGCCCCAAGCTTGGGTGACATCGTCTGCAAAAGCTCCCGTCCAGCACCAGCACCTCCAGGGAGCGTTGCCGTAGCACAGGTTCCTTGGATTTGTCAGAATGCTGGTGAGGCATTGGGAGATCACAAAAATGTTTGCCACAGTGTGTTCCACTTCCCCGGGTACACTGAGGTGGCGGTGGATGAGGTTTTGCATCCGTTTCAAATCCGCCAGAAGTTGCTGGCCTCCATGAGTGGTGGGACCTCTGCCGTACTGTTGGCAGGACGCCAACAAGTCCTTGCTGCAGAGATCAAACAATGTCTGCTGCTCAAAACAGAGAGAGACGAGTCTGTCTCGGCCTCCATGTTGAGGAGGTTTGCCAGGGAGTGCACAGCCGAGGTCCCGAAGGAAACAGTCCCCCGAGGGGGCTGTTCAGTGGTGGAGGAGCTCGGTACCTCGACTGTCCTCTGACCTGTGTCTCAGAGGGAGACAGAGCCCCTCCGTAAACCTTGAGCTTCGTCAAGGGATGCCGGTACGGTCCATAGCCCGTGCCCGAAGAAGGTAGGCCCTCGCTTGAGCCTGAAAGCAAAAGATCAACTGGAGATGCAATACCCCTGCATGCCAGTTGAGGTTGCCCCAAGTCATGATCAAGGGAGCATGACGTGAGTCCCCGTTCAAAAACCGAAAGCATTTGTGTGGAGAGTGCCAGAGGGCTACCCACACGACGCTGCATTGCCAAGCTCAGTCTTGCGGCGTTTGGCCTCTTCATCAGTGACTTCAGCCTCAACCGAAGAACGTTTGAGCATGACGTTCAACTGCTCTTTTTGTTCCTGGGTCAGGCTGACTCCTAAAGTGGTGATGAAGCCAGCAACTGCAGCCGGCACAGAATCTGCCATCTCGGTTTCGAGAGGTTGAAGAGGCTTTTCAGCCTGAATGGCACTGACCTTGGTGAGGTAGGCCGTGCTGATGGTGTTCAAGGACGCCTGTTCCTGCTCAAGTCTGCTTTGCAGAGTCTTCATTTCATCTAGGAGCTCTTGGTAGTGCTTCTTGGTGTTGTCGATCTTCTGCTGGAGAAGGTGCTTCCGCTGTGAGATGTCGCGAAGCGTGGAGACCTGCTGTTTGAGTCGGGATGCCATGTCCTTTTCCGTCTCTGGCTGAGGCTTGGTGATCTTCTCAACCAGTTCTTTGACCGGAGCTGGAAGGCTGGCCAGGTTCTCCTTGAGGACATCAGTCAAGTCGGGTTCAGTGACCTTGGGTGCCGGGTTGATACCAACCTCAGTGAGCTTCATCTTCAAAGACTCATCCAAAGAGCCCCAGGCCGGGGCCAGGATCTCCGAAGCGGTCTTCTGTAATTTGGATGGTCGAGGAGGCCGTCCTGCTGGTAGCCCAGGTGGTGGCGACACGTTCCGCGTCTTTGCCTTGCTCCAGCCTTTTGGTGGTTTTTTTTCCTCGTTGGCATAGCCCTGGAGTGGCTTCTTCCACGGGGTTCCGCAAAGCCGGCAAGTGTAGGTGGCCCTGATGCGATCCTCCCAGATCCAGTTGGTGCAGCCAGCCTTACTGCAGCATTGATACGATCTGGTCCATGTCATTCTGTAAAAGCACTTGCCAGGTCACCCGGGATCTCGTCAAGAGCGTTCACGAGGTGGTCGCGTGGTGTGGGTGAGGTCCCAGGGCAACCGATGGGGTACAGGTCCCGTCGCAAAACTTGAGCAGAAATGGCTTGAGCCTGAGAAACACATAATGTATATATAATATTTTATTTATATATATATATATTATGTCTACACAAGGAAGTTGCAAGTGCTCAAGATCCCGCTGCAGTCCATACGCCTGAAGCTGTACAAGGGGTCTATAGTTGCTGGCATAAGCTGGGGACACGAGGCCATGGGCCTGGCTCCGCAAGTTCGACGCCGTCTCAAGGCCACCATGGGCCGTCAGATGGGCTTACAAAAGACAGGGAACGTGGACATCCTTTTTGACATGATGTCTCAACACCGTGATCCAGACTATGGTGCATTTGAAGATCAAGTCAGGCTGTACCATCGCTTCTATGGCAACTGGCCTGAAAATTTGGGCCGTGACCTTGAAAAAGCCTGGCAAGTTCACCGAGAAAGGCTCCAGCAGGTGAAGTATCCCTGGCAGCACACCAAAGGTCCTGTTGCAGCATTGCAATGTTACCTCCATGAACATGGCTGGAACTATGAGAGCCACAGTGAGTGGACCAAGCCTGGACACAATGGGCAACCGGAGTTTCGGTTGAACATGCACGCAGACTGGTTTTTCCTCAAACAGGAGTTAGCTCGGGCACGGAGATGGGAGACGGTCATGAAGATCAACCAAAGATCCATGTTGAAGGAGGTGCAGCAACCCTTGGATTGGCTACCCTGGCGGCGAATGAGTCGCACCCTCAACAAGCAGCAGAATGTGGCACTTCAGACATGGCATCAAGGAGCGCTTTTTTCGAAGAGTGCAGATGGGCAAGATGGCAAGCATCTGATCTGCCCGCATTGCAAGGTTGAAGCCACTATCATTCATCTGCTTTGGACTTGCCCGCAGACTCAAAAAGCCTGCAGCCCGCTCGATCCAGAGGACAGGGAAGAAATTGAGATGGGAGTGAACCTGGATTTCTGCTCACAGGGCCTAATCCAAATGCCAACCTATGAGCTGTCTACAGGTGGTGCTGCAGTACAGACCTGGGGCTCCTGGACTATGCATGACGAAGTGGTCCTGCAGGATTCAGACAAGGTGACCATAGGAATAGCAACCACGAGCAAAGATGTTCGACTCAAACATTACGTTGTCGCCTTGGTGCACCACACACAAAAGTTGACGGAGAACTATACCGCAAAGGCGCGGTGACAACCGTGCTGCCCGGCGCTCAGTCACTAGAACGTGCATGGTTCTACGGCATGAGGTTGATGGCACATTACCTGGATTTGTCCAAGAAAGTGGTTGTACAGGTGCTCTCAGTAAGAGCATGGGAGGGCTGGATGAAGAGCAAACACCGTGAAGTTTTTCACGATTTGAGCAATCTAGTCACCCATGATCAAAGATCCCGCATTCAGCCAATGAGTTTGACTTTGAAGCAGATCAATGAGATGCCCAGAGGACCTTTCACAGTGCAGGCTCGAATGAAGGACGCCACCAAGGCCGCAAAAGAAGTCGCCATGTCCATCAGACCTGAAGGGCTGGAGGAGGAGCTTAAGGTGACAGACCAGCGGTACCAGAAGATTGCCCCGCTGGCAATTCAGCGCATCAAGCATCTTTTTGAGGACAAGGGGCATTTTTTGCATGAGGCCAAAGAGACAGGAAAGCAGAACAGAGCACAAGCCAGAGCTGCCACAAGCCAGCTGTTTTTGGACATCGGAAACCATCACCAAGAACAAGGGCATGTATGGCAGACCAAGGGCACTGGCCTTCAGTGTGGGGGTTGCAGCAAACGGATCACAAAACATTGGAAGATTGCAGATTTAGAAGCTGTCAAAAATGAGAAGTGTCCTGCTGTGGAAGAACCCCAACAAAAAGGAGGCAACCCACAAGGCCTCTCCAAAGGAGAGACCATACAGCAGATGCTGACGGGCGCGCTGCCTGAGATGTCAGCCCACAGATTTGAGCTCCAGAAGAACTACCTTGTGTGCATGGAGTGCAAATGCCGCATTTTGCGGCATGCTGCAAAAGAGAAATTGGTGGCATTGGCTGCCACTTCCTGCTGGAATGAACCATGGATGGGGGTCGAAGGCTGGGAAGGACACAGCACCCACGTGATGTGGCGACAGGGCGGAAGGCTCTCTTACCAGCAGTGCAAGGCGCAAGCCCTCAGCAAGGCTGGCATGTTCAAAGCCAGCAAGCAGCTGCGCAGTCCACGCGGAGAGGTCGGACGCCAGAGCACGCTTCCGACATGTTTCAGGGCCAAAACGGCCGAGGGATGTGCTTAGGAAAGACACGAGGAAAAAAAAATCTACTATGATATCTATATATCCCCACTTTTTAAGCTAATGTATTGGAAACCGTGCCACGGTTTGAGGCCCCCCGACCACATCTTCACCAGTGCTTGGATCTGAGAGCTTCTGGAGGAGCTCCTGGAAGAGCTGGATCCACAGCCCGTGGTCCCAAAAGCTCCCGTGACCACGGGTGATCGTTGGATCTAAGAGGTGAGGCATGACGGGTCATGTTCCTTTGACTTGTTACATGCAATTTTACTTCATCCCATATGTTGCACCTGCCGATTTCGACAAGTATTGGATTCCCTCACGTTTCAAAAACACAACTCAATGCAGTGATGAGCACTCCAGTAGGAAGGAATTGCTTAATCTGAGCACTCCCTTGAAAGTAATGACCACCCTTCGCAAGGAGGTGATTATATTTACGCAAGTTCTTATGCTTCACTTATGCGAGTCACATCTGCTAGGCTTGCGCGAACAAATAAAACTCTGTCTGCACCACGCCACAACATGAGCTCGCATGCTCGCTTCTTCCCTAGTGCAGAGACATGTCAACACATGGTTAAGCAAAGCTTAATCACACACTTTGTTTGCGCTAGTGCTTCAGCATTTCGCACAGCGTCCTTATGTCCAGGCCCTTCCTAAAATTTGAAGACAAAGGTTTTGGAAAAAACCGCACTTGCACCTAGCCCTAAAGCCGGCTGCCCCCTTCAGTGAAACGGCGAAACACAAAGACTGGCAAGAGTCGTCAAGTGTGGGGTTGGGTGGGAAGTTCCTAAAATGCATCCAGCAAAACACACCTGCAATCGCAGTGCTTTCGCCCCCTACTTTGGCCACTATTTGCCTCAGGATTGAGCTCAACAACGCAGACCACGCCTGCACACGCTGTTCCTTCTCTGCCACCTGCAGTTGCAGTTCTGAATCAGCCTGACCCGCGCGCATCAGAGCGGAGTCGCACGATCGGTTCGCACGGCTGGGGGACGGTCGGGGAATCACCTCCCCATATGGTCGGGTGAATCCCAAAAGGTTTTGCACTCCATGTCTGGGGGGGGTTAATAGAAGGCTTAATCAATGTGTTGTGTGTGTATGTCTGGTTTTAGACTGGAGTAAAGAAGGATGTCAGAATGCCATACATGACTGGGTGAAACCACTCTTGGGTCCTGACGCGTATTTGTAATCCTAGGCAAACAGAAGAGTCAAATCAAAGTAGATGACCGGACCACATGGCGTGGTTCCAATAGATCATTCTAGTGGATTGAGAGTAGATGGCACAGACCCCAACGTCGGTGGTTTACATGGACCCCCACCTAAAGGACATCATGGTCATTGTGCCATCGAGCCTCTGATGGCCCACTGTACGTCGTCTCGACTGCACATCTTGGGACCGACGTTCCGATCCTGAGGAGTTCACCCTCCCTCTAAGCGGCAAATGACTCCCCAGAACTCCGCCTTGCTAGCTCTTGCTTCTGCAAGCCTCAGCAAATGATGTGAGCAGCGTGGATGGCTTGGATGCACCGTGGAGGTCACCGCTTTGATGAAAAGCCCATGAGTTCAACAGTGAAAACAGAGCCTTTTTGCATTTGGTCTTGGCCCACGAAAGGAACAATTTTCATTATGGTTGTCTTTTGACTTGAGACTAGTGTGAGGAACTCACTGTAAGCAACTCGCTTACCTTGCAGCCACCTCACCTCGCCGTCGGTGTCCTGCGACATCAGTCGCTAAGACCAATCAAACCCTATACTATACGTACAAAGGGAAGTCCTCATCTTCCAAAGCCACGAAGGTCTCTCGAAGTCAGGTTGCCATGTCACTTGACTTGTTCGAACCTAGTTCTCATCTCCCAAGACCCACTCCCAGCGGCCCTGCGCGACAGCGCAGCGGTCCCAGTGCCCAGCACCTTCCATGCCACCTCCGGCTCACTGCCCAGATCTGCTCAGATCTGCCCAGGTGCTGATTTTCCACTTGTTCCAACTTGGCCCGGTGCATCTTCTCGCGGACCTCCGCATCCTCTGGACGGTGGTTTTTCGTTTCATTTGAGCTGTGCAGGTGGGGAGGGGCCCGCCATGGTCCGGAAGGGCCTGCCGGGGTGGCGCGGTTCTCATGCTGTTGATTCCCCACGGGCAGCGGGGTGAGGAGGGCCATGTGTATTTATACATTATATGCGAGTGGATCTTAATCAGCGAAGTTTGAAGCTATCACTGACGGTCCATAAGCGGCGTAGCGTCGGAACGGAAACCGCACCTTTTCTAGTCGCTTGATCCTTGAGCCAAAGTACATATGGTACATATATATGTACAAGTTGCACTGTACATGTCGCTGCACTTCCATTCGCACCCCCCATGTGAACGGCAACAATATGTTCCGATCACACACGAAAATTTAGGGATGTAAGTGCTACAAAGAAATTGTATGATTTGCCGCGAGACTCATATGAGGCTCATACTACGAAACATGCTGGACTAAAGCGGACTTTTACATATAAAGTGTGCAACTATGGCTCAGAACCTTTGAAAAATCGAATTGAACAAGTGAGACAGTCACGAGGCCTCGCTCAGTATCCACTCAAAAGAGCATCGCTTTGATGTAGATCCGAACTGGTGACTTCCACGTAGATGTCACATTGGCAACTGACTTCACACTTCTCAAAAGATGTAGGTTTTGGTTTGGATACACTTACAGAACGGCAAGTCGGAGAGACAGTCGGTGATTGTCTTCCTTCCATTATGCTCATGGTATCAAATCGTCAATCCGAATTTGCAACGATACACTTACAGCGTTTCAGGTCAGATAAACATCCGGTGAATGATTTCCTCCCTGGTTTGCATGGTATCCTCATAGTCGTTCAAAGAAATCACCACTGGTGATAACCTCTCCATCCACGATGATCCCAGCTGCCCTGGGCATCCCACCGATCATCTTCCCCCCTCTTGGACTTTCCCTTGGACTTGCTCTTTCCCTTCCCCTTTTCAGAAGGTTGAGGTACTTCGCGACGTTCTTGCGTTAGCGCCGGCCTCCAAGATGTTCCAGATTGGCCTCCTCCTTTGGAATGTCCTCGGGATGATGAAGAAGTTGTACCTTCTGCTGCATGTGCGTTGGCGGCAAGATCTTCCTGCAAAGCTTGCTCAAACACATCGGTAGCACTGGATGGTGATTTATCATGTGGTCTGGCTTTTGGAGCAGCCTTCGCCTTGTTCTCCTCTGCTGATGAGGGCCCGAAACTCTTAGGTGCTGTTGAAGGTTTTGGCTCCTCACTTGGTGCTGACGACGGCTTGGCCTCGGTTCTGGGTGTAGATGCTGGCTTTGCCTCAGCTCTTGACGAAGATGCTGCTTTCGCTTCAGACTTAGTCGTTAATGTTGACTTAGCTGTTGCCTTGGCTGCCTGCTTCTTCTTGCCCTGAATCTCCTTGGCCCTATCTCCAAAGCCTAGACGATTGGTAAGAGCTTGAACATGCTTATGTTCTACCACGCTCATCCATCTCTCTGTATGTCCAACGTTAGGGTTTCTGGCCATTGACTCTATGACTTCCTGAGCTTGTGGGGGCAACCTGATTTCATGTTGATCAATGATCAACAGAATAGACTTCTCCCACCTGCTCTTCATTCTCGAGTACATGATGTCCAGAGGATCGATCACCTTGTGGTAGGGTGATGTAATGTCGGTTCTAAAGTAAGAATATGTCCGACACCCATAAATCGCATGGATGCACTTCTGTACCAATTCAGTCATTGCGCTGGCTTTCTTCGCTTTCAACTCCTCAAGCTGGGCATCAGTCAAGTTGGTGGGGTATTCGAAGTTGCCATAATCCTTCTTGAAGGATTGCGGAGTATGACCAAATGATAGGATCACGAGTGCCACCTTGCAAATGAATTGCTCTCCTCTGAATCGGTGCCAGGCCTCCTCAGTTGTAATATTGTTGTCGTTGGCAAAGATTAACATCATATCATCTGTTGGATCCAATGGTCTCCCATCGTCATCGATTTCTGTGGAATCCCCTGTACCGAACTTGCTTATCACATCCAGTCGCTTCCTTTTCCAATTTGCTTTGAAGTCGGTAAGGCTGGTGCAATAGTAGCTCTTGTACATCAGGGAGATCATGTTCAGCACACATTTGACCACATACCTATCCATCAAACCCGATGCATTCACGGAGACGTCCTGACAGTAGGCTCTCTCTTGATGCGCATAGATTCGAGGTTCCGGTACTCGACAATAGATGGGGAGATCTTCGTTGTCTCTTCCTTCTTCGGGATTGAACTCGGTCGCTCCATGCTGTGCATAGTATCCCGGTTCATCACGATCTGTCGGTCGATTCGCCTCCGGATGTAAGTCGTCGGTGACGTCTTCATCCTCGGGCTCACCATCTTGACGTTTCTTCCCCTCATATTGTTGTGTGCTCCTCTGGATCTCGATGATCACGTTTCGTTCGTCTTCATCTTCTAGATCAGAATCACGACCGTAGTCGATCTCGTCCTCATTGAAAGATGGGGTCTCGACATTGTCACTCTTGAAGTTTTCTGCACCATCAGACGGTTTGGAAGGATCTAGATGGTCCATGTCCTCGTCGTCGTCAGCTGCTTCAGTTTGAGCGATGTCTTCTTCCCAAGCCTTTCTGATCTCGTCCATAGTGGCCTGGTCCAATATATCTTGATCATCATCTTCAGGCTCCTTCTTTTCCTTCTTTTCCTCTTCATCGTCGCTCACAAGATCAACGGGTGAATCGGAAATGACAGTGTTGCGAATACCACACGAGAGTAGCCTGCCTTGACAAGATAGACACACGGACAAAGATGAAGAAGTCAAATGCATACATGATGGACACAAAATATTGCCATCCACGTTGCGATACCCTTCACATGTTCTGGAAATGATTTCGTCCCAAGTTTCCTCACTGATGGAATCCTCGATCAGCTCTCCATTGTCATCGAATCGTACTTCATCGATAAGGGACACGAGCTTTTGGACGTTGTCATCTGTCGCCGAGGCTGACTTCGTGACTTCGTCGGCTCTCTCGAGGATGGTATGCTTCTGAGCAACCCAAAGTCCATGACGTGCCGCTAGAACAACTTGCTCTCCAGTGCTTCCCAGCAGGAGTCTCCTCCATGCCTGAACGTGGTCGTCCCAATACCAAGCACCTCGTACACATCTCCATGGAACTTCTCTAAAAACAACAGTGTAGGAATTCTCCGAAATTCTTCCCCCAAGCTTCCTCAAAGTCATGATTGGAACATAAAGGCAAACGGGCATTCCCACTCTTGGCCATCTTGATCTCAGAATCTTTGATGATCGATCATCCCACGGCGCAAAGTGGTTGAAGAAAACACTACCTCTATATCCCTCCGTTCCACCAGGGACAATTCCTAGTTTCATGATTGACTCAATATTGGAAAGCGATGTCATGTGAAAGCTTCCTCCAAGCTGCATTGCCACATTCTCTGGAATGAGATGTGAAGTCCACACAGGATATATTGACACATCCTCTTCAAGAACAGTCTCTCTTCCAGAATTGTGAGAGGCAACAGCTCGAATTGCACAAGGAACGATCCAACGTTCATGCTTCAGAAATGACGGTGCGTCTGTGCTGTAAAACATGAGGTTTGCCCAGTATTGCCTTTCCTCTTCGAGTGAGACATCCTCCTTTGAGATACGAATGGCGGCAATCTGATAGCGTACTCTGTTCTGCAACTTCTTTGCATGCCACATCGCCTTGCATAAATACTGGTATCGCTCTGTCTTGACATCTTGACGATGCCGATCACCTGAGATAGTACTGATATCGACACCATCGTTGAAGACATGGTCATATTCCAGGATCTCATCGATGTTCACCCATCCACCCTCATTACACTTCGGGGACACATGAGGTTTTCGACCGCGGTGCGATTGAATCCCATTATGCTTTCCCACTCCATGCCTGAGTAGTCTATTGAGTCTATGGCTAACCTCGTTGACCCGCTGACTCTCCTCGCTGAACTTGTCGATGCGAGTTGCTGGGTTCATCTTTGGTGGATCCGTGAAAGTTGCATCTCTCTTCGGTCCATTCCAGTACTCCACATAGAATGTAACTCCATACTGTGGAATTATCTCGATGCTTCCTCTATCGCAAGTCACCTCAATCTGCCGATATCCAACCTTTTGAGCTTGTTGTGGGTCAGGAGCAAGGTCCTTCACTTTGGGCATCTTTATTCCGAATGCTGCAGCCTCCTGAATAAGTGCATCAAGTTCCCACTTTCCATTAGGACCTGATCTATCAACCCTGTGATTTGCGACCCTGTACTCTCCTCCTTCTTTGTCATCGGCAATGTCAAAGAGGTCGACGGGCTCTTTGAATCTGGTGACGAAACTGGCGTTCCCAAAGGCCTTCTTGGTTGCCTCGACCGCTTTCGCGTATTCCTCTTTTGCAGAGTCTGACGAGTGTGGTCTACCTTTGGCTCTCGGAGAGTGAGGTGGTACCTTACCTCCTAGTTCCGGCTCTTCTTCGGGAAGTTCAATATCTTCATCATCCACATCCATGTAGTCCTCGTCTTCGACGTCTTTGGATGACTTTGCTTTCCTCTTTCGGCTTTCAACATCACGTCGGATGATTGCCTTGTCGTCCTCGGTGAAGCACTTGCGCATAGTGTCCTCCATGTGAGAGAATGAGTTCATCAACTCGTCCTTCTTCTCAGTGTCGGGACAAATAGCCAGGTGATGTTGGTTTGAACCACAACAATAGCACACCTTTTGGCTCACTGCGCGTGCTCTGACCCTTCTGAGGTTGTCATAGGCGGTTTTCCAGTTGGAAGCGGTTGCTGTACCTTGCCCACTGCGCTTGGCAGCTCTTTTCCGTTCTTCAGTATCTGGATTCGATGTCGGGTAGTGCGACCATGTTTTCGTCGGGGATACTGAACGACCTTCCCCATCCTT